ACACACACACACACACACACACACACACACACACACACACTGCTTCCTTTTTTCTTCCCTCTCACATCTCTTACTGGTCAACCTCTTTTTTTTTTCTTTTTTTTTTGACTTGCCTGATACCCGAGGTCAGAGTGGGAAGGTAGCTTTTCCACAAGTGAGTGTATCAAGTCAGATATGATAATGTTCCTGCTTGCTACGAGGATAGGTCAACACGGGCTCCTGAGCCCTTCAGACTACCCACACTAATATCCTTAAATTGACTACTTGACTTTAGCTCCCTGGGTGCACATAGTTTTTCTGGCAACCTGCTCTGGCTCCCTCTGGAAGGTACTTCCTGGTGTTGCCCAGCACTGTTACCCTGAGCAGACTCTGGAGATTAAGGTGCAAACCATGGAGGCACCCAAGTTGGAGATTAAGGTGCAAACCATGGAAGCACCCAAGATGGGCCTCATTAGGAGGGGAAACGTCTGCCTGTTAGTGGTCCTACAAATCAGTCTTCACTGGTTAGTTCTTTTGACTTGGCACAAACTAAAGTCACTTGGGAAGAAGGATCCTCAACCGGAGCTTTGCCTCCATCAGACTGGCCTGTAGGCAAGTCTGTGTGGGCATTTTCTTGATTCATGGTTGGTGTGGGAGGGCCTAGCTTATGGTGGGCAGTGCCATCCCTGGGCAGGTTGTCTTGGATCGTAATAGAAAGCTGAACAAGCTACAGAGAGCAAACCCATAAGGAGCAGTCCTCCATGGTCTCTGCTTCAGTTCCTACTTTAGGGCTCCTGCCTTGAGATCCTGCCTTGAATTCCCTCAAGAGTGGACTAGAACTCATAAGCTAAAATAAACCTTTGTCTCCCCGAGTTGCTTTTTGATGGTATTTCAGGACAGCCACGGAGGAAGGAAAACAAAACAGGGTCTTCCCATCATGACTTCCTCTGAGCTCCAGGGTTGCCGGGTCATCGGGAAAGCCTAGTGAGAGGCATTTAGAAAACACTCCTCTCAGAACTGGGGACCATCTCATTGGGAGCTACTGTCACTGTGTACTTTGGAATGCTTATAGCTCTATCCCTGGGAGTTCACTGGCAGATCGTCATGCTGTTTTCTTGTAGAGAAATCTTCTTACCTAGTCACCTCATGCTGTTGCTTCCAGTATCTCCATACCACCCTCTGTTCCAACTGGAAGACAAGCTGGAGTCTCCTAATAAAATCATGGGCGAAGGGCACATATTACCTCTGGCACCCATTTTACATCTTGGAGATAGAAAGCCCAGGCTTGAGCAATTGACCTCTCCAAGCCTCATAGGCCTCTGCTGGGGAACACAGCACACATTCTCTAGGTTCATCTTTTCTTTATCCTGAAGGTGTCTTCCTCACAGTTAATGGGACAGCCTGCTCCAAGGTCATTGCTTTTTCCTTTGCTGTCTGTAGAAGTCTTTAACTAAACTCAGAGGGACACTGTCTATAGAGAAATCTTAGAATTTTTTATTTAAAAAAACACAGACCTAGTTAGGGTTACCATTGCTGTGATGAAATGCCATGACCAAAAGCAACTTGCGGAGGAAAGGGTTTATTTGGCTTACGTATCTTGAGTCACAATCCATTGAGGGAAGCCAAGGAAGGAGCTCAAACTGGGCAGGAACCTGGAGGCAGGAACTGATGTGAAGGCCATGGAGGAGTTCTGATTATTGGCTTGCTCCTCATGGCTTGCTCATCCTGCTTTTTTTTAATGGCACTCAGAGCCACCTATCCAGGAGTTCCACCACCCACAGCGAAGTGGGCTCCCCCACATCAATCATCAATCAAGAAAATGCCCCACAGGCTTGCCTACAGCCTGATCTTAAGGAAACATTTTCCCAGTTGAGGCTCCCTCTTCTCCAATGACTCTAGCTTGTGTCAAGTTGACATCACACTAGCCAGCTGAAACACTAAGAGAGGGCTGGTGAGCAGGCTGATGTACTTGCTGCTAAGCTTGGTGACCCAAGTTTGGTCCCCAGGACCCACCTACATGATAGAAGGAGAGAACCAACTTCTGCAAGCTCTCCTCAGACCTTCATATGCATGCTGTGGTGGCATGTCCACTGCCCCTAAGATAAACAATTTTTAAAATATAATAAAAATCAAAATCACACCCCCGCCCCATTATTGTTAGCTGGATTGGGCAAGGATAGCACACATTTTAAACCCCAGCACTCAGGAGGCAGTGAGTTTGAAGTCAGCCTGATCTGCTAGTGAGTTCTCTTCCAGCCAGGGTTACATAGTGAGACCCTGCCCCAAACAAACAAGCAAACAAACAAACACAAAACAACAACAAAATCGATGTTTTTAAAGGGTACTTTCAGGTTCACACACCTGAAATGACTGGTATGAGTACAGATAAAAGAACAAAATATGGCAGGCACTGGCTTAGCCAAGAGCCAGCTGTCACTCGGTCCCTTCCCTTGCTCACTTTGAATGGCTCCTCACAACCTGCTTTATCGTGGTGGCTTTCTTCAGCTAGGTCCCTCCTTAACCTCCTACAGATTTATCCCTCTGGCCCAGGTGTCCACAGCATCCCGGGTTATCAACACCTGGTGGTGCATCTGCCAACGCAACAGGGATGCATTGTTAGCTGCAGTCCATCTGTTACCTGAGAATTCACTGTGCGGTAGAGGTTTTTGACAGACACATTTTGATATGTTGCATTAATCTCTTTTTGTGAGCTGTGACAAAGGGAATGTAAGGAAGGAAGAAGGGGTTATTTTGGCTCACAGTTTGCGGTACAGTCCGTTATGGTGGAGGAAGTGTGGAGGCAGGAGTGTGAGGCAGCTGGTTGTGTTTCATCCAGTCAGAACACAGAGATGAATGCTGGTGCTCAGTTCATTTTCTCCCTGTTATTCAGTCCTGGAGTCTAGTCCAGGAGATGGTGCCACCCACATCCAGGGTGCGTCTTCCCTCCTCACTTAAGTATTTCTGGCAACAGACACACACCAGAGGTGCGTTTCCATGGTGATTCTGAACCCAGTGGAGACAAGGCTGATGACCATCACTCTGGACTCAGCGTTACAGTATGGTACAGGGTAGTTCCATTGTCCTGGAAGTCAGCCATACTTTAATTGTTCCTTTCTGTCTGTGTCTGTCTGTCTGTCTCTCCCTTTCCCTTTCCGTCTCTCTCTTCCTCTCCCCCTTCTGTGTATGTGTGTGTGTGTGTGTGTGCACATGTCTGTCTGTCTGTCTCCCCTAATCCTTGGCAACCACTAACTTTTTTTCTGCCTCCATAGTTTTGTCTTTTCTGATTATCATACAGTTGGAATCACACATTATCTGGCCTCTTCAGAATGGCTCCTTGCATTTAGCAGTTTGTCCTTATGAGTCC